TTTTTTTTTTTTTTTTTGGTGGAAATATGGAAATATATATAACAAAACACAGATATAGTCAGGTCCAGGGAAAGTCTATTCCCCTTACATCAGCGTCCAAATACAAGCCAAGGCCTTACAGGCAATTAACAAAACAAACAAACCCCGTAACAGTATGACCTATAGCAACTAAATGATCAGCACACTGATTAGCCTCTCTAAATATATGACGAAGACGAACGTGAGGGATTTGAGTCATCAGTTCCCTGCATTCCAAAATCATGGTATGAAATGGATGATTAACAGAATCATAATTAGAAAGTAACTTAAAGACAATCAAGGAGTCCATCTCCACAATAATGTTTTGAATACCCCAGTTCCTTGCCATAATCAAGCCATCCTGAACACCCCAAAATTCAGCACCAAGAGCGGAGGTAATGCCTATATTTCTGGCAAAACCAACCACCCATCTACCCAATGAGTTCCTAATCAATCCACCACAAGCAGCAGCCCCAGAAGTTCTCAATGAAGAGCCATCTGTGTTTAACTTGAAATAACCCTTAGGGGGTTTGTCCCATTTGATATTGATGCAAACCAAGGAGCCATTACCAGTTGTAGGATAGGGAGAAGTGGAGATGAACTCCATCGCCCTTTCTTTAATTAAGATTTTTGCCCGGTTGGGGTCATAACTCTGTGGCCGATATATTTTCTCATTCCTCTGCAGCCAAATGATCCAGATGACAAAGGACAAAAGAGTTCCCCATTGGACAGGAATTGAAGGACTAGGGGTAGTCTTAGAACAATTCATTTGGAGCCATAAAAAGAAAGGTGACTCCTCCTCATAACTATTATCCCCAGGAAAAAAATATTCCCATAAATCACGCACAGATGGACAATTTCTAAACAAATGGGAACAAGATTCCACTGTAGATAAGCATAAAGGGCAAATGGGTGACTCAACAATCCCCAACTCATGAAGGAACCCAAGGGTTTTGAGGCATTCATGAGATAAAAGCCATATGAACTGTTGGATCTTAGGAAGGGTTTGGATTTTCCATATCCATTTCCAGTCTCCTTTGGGTGAGTGGTGTAGACCTTTAGCAAGGTTATACGCAGAGGTAGATGAAAAGGAGCCATCAGATGATCCTTTCCAGGAAAACGAGTCAGTGTTGGAAGAAGTTATGGCAGTCGGGGTAGCCGAGATGATTCTCACTAAATCCTCTTCAATAGGATAGGAGATGTTATTGGGTTGAAACCTTCCGTTAATGAAAGCATCAGCAACGGTGAGCTGCCTGTCTTGTGAAGAGATAGGTCCGGATAATAGGTTGCTAAGGGGGGCATCCATAACCCAGCAATCATTCCAAAAGGAAATAGATCGCCCATTATAAGGCACCCATTTAATACCTTTTAGGAATAATTCACTACCCTTCCTAATGTTATTAAGCATTAGGGAACCCTTCTTAGGAAGAAGGGAGGGCTGTGTCCCAATTCCATATTTTGAAGCAATTATCTGGCACCAAAGTTTGTCTCTTTCTAAGAATAATCTCCAATTTAGCTTGGCCATTGCAACCAGGTTAGCCTCCTTGGCACTTTTCAGGCCAAGTCCTCCAAGAGACTTAGGGAGAGTCACTGTATCCCAAGCAACCATATGTATCTTTCTCTTTAACAGGTCCGATCCCCAAAGAAAGTCACGAGTGATCTTGTCCAATTGAGAAAAAGTGGAAGAAGGTAGCATAAAAGACTGCATATAAAAGTAAGGAATGGAGGCCAGAATGAAAGAGGCCAAAATTCTCCTTCCAACCATTAAGAAGAATTTTGTCTTCCAACCATCTAGCTCCGCACGGACCTTGTCTAATATGAAGTTGCAATCTTGCTTCTTAAGCTTCCTAGGAGAAAGAGGGATGCCCAAATACTTCCCTAAGTTCTCAGTTTGAGGAAACTCTAGGATACTACAAAGCTCTTCTCTAGAATTATGCTCCACATTTCTAGAGAAGAAAATACCAGACTTGGATGGATTAATCTTTTGGCCAGACCTGTTACAAAAAAAACCCAAGATCAGTTTTAGAAAAAGGCAATTTTGACGAGTAGCCTTACCAATGAATACTAGGTCATCAGCGAAAAAAAGGTGGGAAAGTAATGGTCCCCTCCTGCCAGCTTTCGAGCCTTTCCAGCTACCCATATTAAGAGCTTTGGACATACTCAAGGAAAGGAATTCCAAACATAAAACAAAAATATAAGGTGAAAGGGGGTCTCCCTACCGTATTCCCCTAGATGGGGTAAAAGGTTCAGAGCTTTCTCCATTGATTAACACGAAAATATTAGAAGAGCAAATACAAGAGAGGATAAGCTTTATGGTAGTAGGAGGAAACTGAAAGAAAGTAAAAGTTTCATGAATAAAGCTCCACTCTATACGATCATACGCTTTCTTTAAATCAATTTTGATAATCATGTCCCCAGTGTGTCAGTTTTCTTGTTAAAAGAATGAATTAGCTCCTGGAGGATAATAACATTATCCGTACCCTTCTGACCTAGAATAAAACTAGCTTGACAAGGAGAAATAATGGTGTCAAGTAATGGCTTGATTTTGTTGACAAGCAGCTTCGAAATGATCTTATATGAAGTATTACATAAACCAATGGGACGAAACTGCGTGATAGATTCCGGGTTCTCAACCTTAGGGATCAACACAAGAAGGCAGTTATTTCACCCAAAAGGCACAATACTAGTGGAAAAAGCTTGCAAAATGTCAATACAAACTTTGGATCTAGTATGTTCCTAGAGTTTCTGATAGAAAAAAGGATGAACCCCATCCGGTCCTGGTGCCTTAAAGGGTTTCATGCTATTGAGAGCCCTTCAAATCTCATCCATAGTGGGAGGATGCGGCAAGCTAGATAATAGCAGTTGAGAAGAATCCCATTCTAACTGGGCAAGCTGATAAGAGTCAGAATAAGAGTGGGGCATATATGAAGTAAACAATTGCTGAAAATAATCATTGCATATTGTACTGATGGAATGTGAATCCCAAGTCCATTCCCCAACCGAGTTTTTGAGGCCCAAAATTTTGTTGTGGGAACGATGTTTAATAGTGGCCACATAAAAGAAGCTAGTATTTCTGTCACCTTCTAGAAGCCAATTAGTTATAGACTTCATAAACTAGAGGTCCTCCTCAAATTTCAAGATATCTACGTATTCAAGAGCTAGATCTTTTTCCAGGCGGGAATGGAAAACACTGTGTTGAAGGGATAGGTATTTGTGAATACCCTCCAATCGAGCAAGAATTTTCTTTTTTCGCTTGAACAAGTTCCCAAAGGTGGCTTTACTCCAAGACTTAGCTCTGCTCATCATATTGGAAATACATTGACTTGTAGAAAGCTCGCTTGATTGCCATACTCCTTGCACCAAGCTTTGAAATTCTGGGTGGTCAATCCAAAATTTCTTCAATCTAAAGGGTCGTTTCCCAATAGCCCAACGTGAGGGGTTAAGATCTAAGAGTATAGGATTATGATCAGAATGAACTCTGGGAAGGTGAAAAACAGTAGCTTGTGGAAAGGAGATTCTCCACTCAGGGTTACCCCAAACCCTATCCAAGCGTTCACAAATAATATGACCATTGAATTGCATGTTAACCCAAGTGAAGCGGCCACCAGTGAATCCAAGATCCATCATATTACATCCATTCATACAAGAAGAATATGCCTCAATCCGAGATTGATTAACAGGGGAGCCCCCAAATTTCTCATATTGGAATAAAACATCATTAAAGTCCTCGGCAATAATCCAAGGACCCTTAAAATGCTCTGCCATGTTAAGAAGTTCCTGCCAAAGTTGGGTTCTAATATCGAATTGTGGACGGCCATATACCCCAGTAAAAAACCAATTAACATTAGAAATAGAAGGAGAAGAGTGATTGCGTACCTTAACAGTTGTATGAATAGCTTGAGAGCTGGTTGCTACTACGTCCACCACAATCTGGTTGTCATCCCAAAGAAGCTATAAACCCCCAGCATATCCCTCTGCATCCACAATGTGGTACTTTGGATATAAACCAGAAGCTAATTGGGAAGCACGCTCACCGGCAACTTTGGTTTCCAAAATTAGCATCATTACAGGAGCATGAGTGTTCTTTAAATCCCTGAAATGGCGCATGAAATTCTGATTGGCCACTCCGCAGCAATTCCAAGCTATAATCTTCATTGACCAAAAGTTAGTGTTGAGTAAGCCTAATGTCTCCTTAACTAACCTGTGGCTGAGGATCATTGAGTTCTCGGTCGACACATTGCATACCATCTGGGCATTCGGAAAAAGGAACGGTAACACTGTGATCTCGTACTCCATCTCCCTTTGGATTTGGGGATGTGGAAGGATTCAGGTGAACAGGTATACCATTTTCATTGAGCCCAACAAGTGCAGGCAGTTGCAGTATGGGTGGTTCAGGGGAAAACAAAGCTTGTGTGGTTTGATAAGGCCAACCATTCTGCCTATTGAGGTGCTTTCTGCGCTGAAATTTAAGTCCCAAACGGAGAGTAGATCTGACCTCGTTGGCGTTTCCAGAGTTGGGATATGCATCAAGTGGATGAAATCTTGGGGATTCAACTCTTTTTTTAAGACTAGCGGGCTTCGCCATGCTCACATTATCCGATGTTCGCTCCATGGTTGAGGCCCCAGGAAGTCTGGTTGTTGTAGAAAGAACATTGCTGTCTCCAGCGGCAGAAACTCTCCATTGCTTGCTAAAACCATCTGGATCCTAGGGTTTGTGACTAACTCCTGGAATGGGTTCTCCATCAGTAGAGGATCCGGGAACCTTAATAGAGAAAAAGGGGTGGTTTGAGGATAAGGTTGGAGGATGTTGTGGTTTGTGGGAAATCGAGGCAATATCCGAAGGAGTGGTACAAGGGGTGGGCTTCACCGAAGCCATGCACATAGTTTGGATGTCTTTTTGGGCTAACAAAGGTGATGCAATCCCATTTTTGTTTGAGGCCAAATAAGTAGATCTGCGGCCCACATCGGGCTTAGTACTGTTCCCTTGCAAGGGTTTGTTCTGTGGGTTTATGTATGGTACAAATGGCTCAAGTGACAGTGCCATAATCTTTTTAGCCTCCCAAATCTGGTTCTTATTGTTGACCTTAGATAGACGAACTGTTTGCTTCCCATTTGAATTCAAAGGTTCAGTATCTTGTGCCGTAGCAAGTTGCCGGTTGGGTTTCTGACTTGCATTAAATGTTGTAGCAGTATTACCATTGTGGCTTGTACTAGTAGGATTTCGGGCACTCGGCCCGGGATTTCGGGTGAAGACATTTCCACTACGGTTCTCCTTGCTATGGCAGATTCCAGCAGCCTGTTTTTTTGGAGTTTCCACTGAGGAGGATACTTTCTGACGAGGACGTCGCCGTTCAATTAGAAGCCATGGTCCGAACTCCTTCTGTTCATGTTCCTCAGTAGCTGATAAGTCAATGGTGTTCTGACCCCTTTCCTGGTTAACTTTGATCAAAGAAGGGGTAGGTATAGGATCTTGCTACATTAGAGAAGAATCTCCAAATTTGGTTGACTCAGAAGTGTTTGAGGCATTTGCTTCTTGTTCCAATAGTTGTTCTGTATTAGCCTCATTGATTTGAGATGACAAGTTATGGGTACATTGAGTGCTTCTATGGCCTAAGTGCCCACATGAAAACCAGAGGGCATTGACACCTTCATACAGAACTTTTTGTTTATGCCTCCCGATCCTTACCTTTTTCACCATCGGTTTGGACAGATCTACTTGAACACATATATGTGCGTATCGACCCCTTGTATGATGAGTTGTATGTGCATCTACTCGTAGGAGAGTGCCAACTTGATTCCCAATTTTCTGCAAGGTGATAGGATCGTAGTAATCCGCTGAGAGGTTAGGCAGCTGGGCCCAGACAGTCGTGGTAGTAAATGAGTGTAGAGCTTCAGATGGGATGAAGTTTGGCTCCAATCTTCTCATGGTCAAGAAATAAGGTCCCACGAACCATGGCCCTCCAAAGATGATCTTATGCAAATCCGCATCATCATGAAACCGCACCAGAAAAAATCTAATCCAAGATCGATAAAGTCCCATTGTCCATTAGGTTTCCATTGAGCTTTTACCCTTGGGTATATATAGTTGTAGCCGAGTGGCTTATGGTAGAAAGCCTTTATAATCAAGGCGTTCATCCAAGGAGCACGAATCCTCTATTTCTCTACTTTGGAGAGCAGAACAACAGGTGTGTCATCATTTGGGTCATCATTCGTATCAGAGTCTTCTTCCATATACTCCAGCACCGTAGAGAATGTTAGAGCAATAGGATTTTCCGCAAGCAGCAGTTTATCCTTGTAAGAGGCAACTCCCTTATGGCCGGAAGTTTCAACAGAGAGCATCGTCGGAGCAGCCAACAAGGCGCTCTTAAAGGTTGAAAACTGTTGTTCTGACATATTGATATCAGAAGGTAGATTTATGGTAGCGCCGATATCTGGGCGTGCAAAATCATCTTTGATTTTCCTGACACTCCGGTCAAGCAGATCAGATTCCTGCGAAGAAGAGGATGAGCGCATAGTTTCTCTCACTTCCATTTTTTTCTTTTTAAGTGTTTGTAATTTACTATTAGTCAAGTACGATTTTATATATTGTTGCTTGATATAACAGGCTACTTGTTTTGAAAAAGAAAGAAATTTTCAAATTATTAGAATTTTCATCCGTGCAAGATAGAGAAAATGGTTGATTTCAATCATGATTTAGAAATTCTGGTTTGAAATTTGAATATCAATGGCTGCTGGTGCTGGGTGCTGATCATTGCTGATATATGAGATTTACCAGTATGAAGGATACATCA